CGCTGCTTGTTCCTCGCGCCTTGTTTTAAGCCTCGGCACCCGGTTTGTGCAGCCCCGCGGACGCGCCCGTGGGTGCCAGGTCGTGCCCGAGCGCTCGGCAATAAAGAAACCCCTCGTTCCAAGGAGGTGCAGCTTCACGGATCAGTGCGGTGATGGACGGTCGGCTCCAAATCCTCAGTCCCAAAGCCTTAAACTCACCCTGTCGCGGGTGGACTGGTCACACGTGGCCCCTGCCCCTGAGAGCCAAATACTTGCAGCTGCAGGAGTGTGAATGCTGGTCCTTCCATGATCTTTGTGTTCCTTGTGTAATTTTCCACCTCTCATCTTTCTGGCATCTCATTGTTTCTCTGAGCAAACACCCCAAACCAACATTTCCTCCTCTTGTTTAACGTGTGCAGAATAGTCAAAACAACTTGTCTGTTGTTTAATAGATCATCTTACCTTGTGTCCCGGTTGAGTTTCTGTTGGGTCAGCTGGATATCAATTTGCATTAAAAAGCATTTGCTGATTTGCTGGTAATGTTTTTCCTCATTCCAAGATGATTTGGTGAGATAAACAAAGCAAAGGGGATTTCCCAGAGTGCAGGATGCCAAGGCTGCTCGAGGTCTTGCTGTGCAGAGCGGAGGTGTGTTCCAGCAGCCATCTCCGGGTGCTGGCCTGTCCTTTGTGCCAGTGGGGCAGCCCTGAGCCGTGCCACAGTGGGAAGTGGGATGTCCTTCCCACTGGCCTTCCCACACACTTTTCATTTTTGTTCAAGAAGCGACTGGACGTGGCACTTGTTGCCATGATCTACTTGACAAGGCGATTGGTCAAAGGTTGGACTCCATGACCTCAGAGGTCTTTTCCAACCCAAATGATTCTGTGGTTCTGTGATCCCAGTGCTGGCACTACATGCTGGTGCCTCTGGAGGTTGCTTTGCTGTTGTCTCTCAGCACCCGTCACTGCAGCCTGTGGCTGTGTCCCCTCAGTGTGACTCTCCCTCTGGAGCTGTCAGCCCAGCAGTGACCACACTGGGCTCCTGTGGGAGCCTGGAGTGGCTGTGGGAGCAAAGGCTGCTGACTCACATGGCTCACGTGCTGCAAAAGGCTCCTGCCTTATCCCCTTCCTGCCGCTTTGGCCGGGGCTGCACAAGCCCGGGGTGAGCTCAGGCTGTTACACAAATCCAGTGGCGGATGTGGGGCCAACAGAGTCACCATCAGCATCGACATGACTTCATTATCAGCAGCACTGGGCTGCTTGCGTGCTTATTTTGGTTGCTCCAAATTGTTAGCAACAAAAATTGGACATTGCCCAGAGGAGAAGAAAAATAACTGTGGCTGTAGGAACTCCCAGGGAAAGGTGAGGAGAATGGTTCTGTTAACCTATGAGAGTGGCTGTGCTCTGTACCCACTGTGAGTGGACAAGTTGTCATTGTATTGGTTTGAATCAAGTGAGACTTGGGCCAGATCTTTCCAATTAACAAGAAGACTTAAATCCTGGAACAAATTTTCAATGAAAGAGTTGCCACCTTTGCAGGGAGAGGGATGTCTTTTTAAGAGCATGTCAGAACAACATCTGTCAGGGATCACCTAAATGTGACATACACATGTCCAGGCCAAATTCTACCGACTTATGTGTCTTATGGAAAGGGTGATTGGGCATTGAAATGGGCTACCCAGGGAGGTGGTGGAGTCCCCATCCCTGGAGGTGTTTAAGAAAAGACTGGATGTGGCACTTAGTGCCATGGTCTAGTTGAGAAGGTGATGTCAGGTCTTATGTTGGACTCGATCTTAGAGGTCTTTTCCAACCTAGTTGATTCTGTGATTCTGTAACTGGTGAAATGCCTTGTGGAGTCTCCTCCAGTCCCTGACTTTTAATGGTGATTTTTCCATGGATCTGTGTGGTAGGTGCACATGACAAAACACGCCAGCCTGTGCATGCCTGCCAGACATGAATGGCTGGTTCACAGCTGAGGTTACCCAAGTTCCCATTTGATTTACAGGCTGACTTTGAAGTAGTCCCCTCTGTCCCTCTGTGTCCTCAGGCATTTATTTCAGCAGAGCCATTTGCTTGTCAGACACTCTCCTCCATTAGTTCCCTAAACGTTATCCAGGATTATGGTCTGCTAAAATGGAAACGTGCCAAAATGACGCTGTTGTTCCCAAGAGGAAGGAGGAGCTGCCGGGCGAGCGTGGGGACGGCAGCAGATCTCTCCGCTGTGGCAGTCCCGGGGTTGGTAGGAGCCCTGTGATCCCTCAGGTTGTTCCAGATGGTTTTCCAGGTGCGTGGAAGGGAGTCAGCAGAGCGTCCTGCTCGGCAGTGATTAACAGCCACAGCAAGGCACGATAAGCACTGGGCCGTCGGGTTCCGCCGGGGAGCCGCCAGATGTGGGGCACCGGAACTCTGGTGGACGTGGGCAGTTCACGGAGGAACTGCATCCGCCTTGAGTCACGGCAGGAGGCCTGTAGTTAAAGCATTTTTCTTGCCCATAAGCCCTCTTCCCACACAGGTTTGGCAGTGCGGAGCTGTGCTCTTTCCCTCATGCTGCCCCTCCATCGCCTTGACACAGCGTTGGTGAAAAGCTCTTTTAGCACGATTTTGCCTTCCCAGTGCTTGTGTCAAGTGCCAGCACTTGCTTGGAGTCATAGAAATAACGTTGAACTCAAACCAATTAATTTCACTCACCCCACAGTTTCAGATTTAAACTCTGTCTTTTGATCCAGCAAGTCTGACCCATTCATGCTTGGTGCTGATGTGTCCTGGGCAGACCAGTCCTTAAGTTCTCCTGTCTTATTCATTGCACTTTGATTTGTGTGTAACTCAGGAAGAGATAATTAAATAGGGAAGGAAAAAATTGCGAAATCAGATTCCATCTAGCACTCCTGGGTGACTGGAGAATAACAGTGTAAACAGGTTAGCATTCACAGAACTGAATCTTAATTAAGATGAATCTGCTCTCTCAAATATACTAAATAAGTCTTTACTCTGAGATCAGATGCAGAGAAAAGGGAAGGCAGTGTGGCAGTGCATTTAATTTTCATTTACTCTTACTGTGGGTCTCCAGTGAAGCCACCAGTTTGGCTGGCAGTTTGAAGGCAGGTTCCTGTGCTCTCCTTGCCTTGGGTGAGCTCTCATCATTGAAATCCTGAGATTTTTTTCCTCCAGAGAGGTCCATTTTAGTGCAGCACGGTTTAATTGGAGCAGACCTTTGCTTGGGCAAAGGTGTTTGTGTGTGCAGTAACTGCCCACTCCCACATGAATTCATGTGGCTATTGAATGCTCATGTGTAAATTACTGGGATGCTCATGTGTGGACACTAAACCCTGCAATCCATGCTCAAGAGTTCCCAAAAGCTGCTTGGAGGGCGCCTTGTGGAGTCTGTGATTGCGCTGGGGGAAGGACACACTGAGCTCTCGCTGTGCCCTGTGTACTCTAGGCCACATGGGGCTGCCCTGTGATAATGGGGCACTTGGGGAGGCCACAAAGCAGAAGGACCATGGGGCCAGGGGACAGTGTTAACTTGCTGAGATTTTCAGCTCGCTCATTTGGGTGCCCAGACCTGGCGACTGACAGTAGGGACACCGAAAGAGCTGGAGCGCTCTGCTTGGGAATGGCATGGCTCAGAGACCAGTGCTCAAATGAAGCCTTGACTATTGGGCCTGCAAAAACCTGCAAAGAGTGTCCCACATGTGAGACAGCAGCCTTGAATGAAGGGCATTTGTGTGTAGAAGGAGGCAGCTCTGGGTGCTGTGGGTGCTTTTGCCCTGTGCTTGTTCTGTCTGGGGTGGCAGGGCCGGGTGGGCTCCTGCCTGCAGCAGAGCCCAGCACTGGGGCAGAGCCTGGCATTGGGGCCACTGCTGTTGACCAAGGTCATGGTAGGGATTCCCCTTGAGAGCAGCAGTGAAGAATCTGCCTCTGTGCAGTCCTGGTTTCCCCTTCCCTCCTCCAGTCCCTGCGCTGTCCTACTCGGCGGGCAGCCAGCTCTGGATCCTGCTCCAGCCTTGGCTGTGGGTGGAAAGAGGCAGCTGGAGTTGCTCTCCAGTAAACAGAATTACAGCCAAATGTGGGAGGTTCCTGAAGTCACCTGTGAGCTGCCTCCTCCCATTCCTGGACCCGGGCTGCCTGCGAGGCACTTTAAATTGCCACCTGGCACAGCCCTGGACATAGACTTCGGCAGCAGGATGGCACGAGGTACCCTCCTGCTGGGGCTCCTTGCCCTGTGGGCACAGCTGCAGGCAGCACCCATCACAGGCAAGTACGGGCGGGTGGGAACTCCAGGCCTCTCGGGGGCTTAAGAATATTTTTCCTTATTTTCATAGAATCACAGAACAGTTTGGGTTGGAAGGGACCAAAGCACCGGAGGTGCTTTGCAGGTGCTGGCAGGTACCAGGTTGCCACCTGTGAGGGCCAGGGAAGCTGTGTGGGAGCGGGATGGGATGAGCCCTGGCATGTGGGGCTCACTGCAGTGCCAGGATGTGCTGTGGCACGGTGCCATCTCTCCCTGACTCCCCGATGCAGCCAGAGGCACAGGTGGGTGCTGGCCCCGGGGCAGAGGTGCCCAGGAGGGCCCCTCAGGCACTGGTCCCACCACAACTCTGCCACGTGCTGGGAGGCACCAGCGTGGCCCTTGGGCCGAGTTGCCCCGGCTGTGAGGGCAGCAATGGTTGGGCAGAGCCCTGAAAACCCACCAGGAAAAGGTACAGAGGAGAAGGCAGCCACAGCTGGGGCAAACCAGGCTGCTGGGTAGGAGCAGAGGGTGGGAGGGCAGCACAGCAGGGCTGACGCTGCTGCTTTCTCCTTCCTCCAGAGTTCCATGGAGCAGCTCCAGCCGGGTGGCCACCACCAGGGGAGCCCAGAAACGCTTTGGGTAAGAGCCATGTCCCTGGGGAAGAGGCCAGTGTGGTACATGATCCACAGCCTGGCAAGGTCGTCTCGTGTGGGAAGCAGGAGTTGTGTGCGGAGCAGGTGGGTAAGGACCAGCTCCTGCACGGGTCTGTGCCAGCAGCTGCTGCAAGTCCTGCACTGGGAAAGCTGGACACAGGGAAGCAACCCAGTTCAGGGGAAAAACCAGCATGTGGGGCGAAGACTGACACTAGGGAAAAACCAGAGGTTGTAGCAAAGCCGGACGCTGGAGGGAAGCCAGAGGCTGGTGGGCAGCCAGCATCTGGAGAGAAAACTGTGCTGGGGGAGAAGCCAGAGAGTGAGGGAGAGCCTGGGGCAGGAGAGAAGCCTGGATCTAACCAGGATGACAGTGAGGAGGATGATGTCAATGACCCCGATCACAGTGATGACAATGGTGATGATGGTGACAAAAATGAGCGTCATGATGGCAATGACAGTGATGGTAGTGACAGCGACAGTGATGATGATGGTGATGGTGATGATGGCGATGACGGGGACGATTCCAATAGCAATGAAAATGGTGATGATGGCAACAATGACCGTTACAACGACAGTGATGATGATGGTGATGATGGTGACAATTCCAGTAGCAATGAAAATGGTGACTCCAACAGCAATGAAAATAGTGATGATGGCAACAATGACCGTTACAATGACAGTGATGATGATGGTGATGATGGCGACGATGATGACAATTCCAATAGCAATGATGACTCCAACAGCAGTGAAACTGATAACTCCAATAGCTATGAAAATGGTGCTGATAACTGGGATGGGTATTTTAGGTTGTAAGGGTATCATTGCCCAGGGATTTCCAGGGGGTTCTGGGTCCCTCTTTTGTGGCACACAGCTGGGGCTACCAGATTTTGTGATTGATCTGTGCCAATAAATGTATCTGATGGACATAAGAGCTTACTGTCAAAAGTTTCTTTAACAGTTTGGCAGCACAGATGGGACGCTCAGTCACTTGCCCATTTCAGTCCTTCTAAACTCCAGACATTCAAATTCCTGGCAGTGGGTGATTTCACCCAGGAGCTCTGGAGTAAGAAAGGACTGAGTAGTGTGTTAAATATCTAGAGCAGGTTCAAGTCCTGCCTTCTACGAGTTTTGAGTTTTGTGGTTTTGTGAAAGATGAGAAATGTACCTGGCATAAAGAAGGGGACGCCCTCAGCCAAGGTATTGCAGAACTGGGAGAAGATAGTTGACACTACTGAATGATCTCAGGAGTGCACAATAATATTATGTCAGGAGGAATGGCCATATATTACTCCATGTGGGTATGGTCCTTCAGCTCAGATGCCAGCCCTAGCCCTGACAGAAATCGAGAGGCTGCAGTGTGTGTGCTCTGTGCAGCACCTGCAATCCCTGAGTCAATCATCACTAATGTACCACAACACCCAATTTCTGCGGCAGCATGAAATGGGATTTTCACAGCCACACACCCATGGGTGTGTTCTTTATGCCCCCCTTATAAGAGGAGGATAAAAAGAAATTTGCATTTCCTTGGGAAGGAACAATATTCCATTAACAAACTCCCACAGGGGTATAAACATTCACTAAATGTTTATAGTAATGCCCCTGGGAAGAAATCCAATTCAGGGGAAAAAAAGACAGTATGAGGGAAGATTGAGACTAGGGAAAAGCAAAGCTGGAGACTTGAGGGAAGCCAGAGACTGGTGGGAAGCCAGTGGCTGGTGAGAAGCTGGCATCTGGGGAGAAACCAGGGGGGAAGGCTGAGAGTGAGGAGGAGCTTGATGTGGGAAAGAAGCCTGGATCTGACCAGGATGACAGTATGGTGGATGATGACAATGACAGTGATAACAGTGACAATGACAGCGATGATGTCTATGATGATCATGACTGTTGAGAATTTTCTATTATTTGAAAGTAGCCAAGTGCTTGTTTGACATCCGTAGCTGGAATTGTTAGGTGCAAATTGAACATTATCTGAATCATACTGGCTGTGTTGTGTAAGTCAAAGATGGAGCGTAGTGAAACCCAGGGCTGACAATCTGAACATTAATAATAGTTAGAAGAGACAAAGCTGTAGCTTAAATATTATTTAAAAATTAATAGTTGGAGTGGACAGCCCATAGATCATGGTATATGAACTGTAACAACCATATTACAACATGGGCTGCAGAACTCACTGAAACCCCAACCAAAACTGACCTCAGAGGGTGTGAAGGTGACCACAAGGTAACCACTTAGTAATGAAACTGTGAAGCAATGAAGAGCTAAGAGACCCCAGAGCCTAACAATGTTCTTGGTCTGGACTGTTACATGAGGGATGGGGAGTTTAGACTATAAGAGTATAATTGCCCAGGGATTTCTTTTTTCAGGGTCTCTCTTTTGAGGCTCCAGCTCAAGCTACCTGATTTCATAATCGATCTGTGCCAATAAATCTATCTGATGGAGATGAGAGCCTACTGTCAAACGTTTCTTTAACACCAGTGATGATGATTGCAGTGATGTTGATGGTGCTGGTGACAGCAATTACACTTGTTCACCAATGCTGGAGGGTAGGCAAGGAACATGTGAGGTGAGGGGAGCCCGCAGTGAGTGGCTGCCCCCAGGCTCCTCCTCTGCCTCACTCTGCCAGGGCTGGTCCCAGGCACCAGCAGTGTTTTGAGCAGGACCTTCTCCTTCCTAATAAACCCAGCACTGGTCACTGGCTGGGTATGATGAGCTGTCCTTGGTCAGTGCCTGGCATGGCCAAGCCATCGTGGCTGCCCCAGCCCTGTCCTGGTACAATGAGCTCTGGCATCTGTTCCTGCCCAGCATGGGCTTGGCAGGGCCCTCTGCACAGAGATATGCCTCTGTCCCTCATGGGAGACCCCCCAGGGACAGCCCCAGCCAGGGACAGCCCCAGCCTGGGACCTGCCTGGGACCTGCAGAGCAGCTCTGGCAAGGGAAACATCCATGTGACCCCACCTCCCTGAGGCTCACTGGGGTGAGCTGCTCCATGCCCAAGGCCCCCAGCATCCTCCAAAAGCAGCTGCCATGGCAGAGCTTGACCATGAGCCGCAAGGACAGGGACCCCATCCCTCCCACGGGGACTGAAGATCCCACAGAGGCTGGCAGGGGCTTGCCAGGAGACAGAAACAGCAGGAGCCAGCCAGTGTTCATCACAGACTGGGTTTACTGGGAGGTGGGGGGCACGGAGGCCCCGATGGTCAGCACAGAGCTGAAGGTGGGATCAGGGTGCTGGGTGCTCATCCAGCAGCTGATGGAGCCCTCCATGGCTGGCTGTCCGGCTGTCTGGCTGTGCAGCTGTTGTCTGTCTGTCTGGTGCGGGTTGGCTGCACACTCCAGGTCCTCAGGCCAGGTCCAGGTGGGGGCTAGGTGAATTCTGGGGAAAGACAGGAATCTGTGTCCAAGCCCTCACTTTGTAGCATGTCAGGGCACAGCTGTCAGCCCCATAGTGGGGGTCTGGGGGGTGAGGGCTCCAGAAACCCCAGATACCCCTCCCAGGGAGCTGTGGGGGGTTTGCCAGTCACTTCTGCAGCATGCAAGGATGGGGGGGGACAGCAGTGCTGTGCAGGATGCTGCAGCCAAGCCCCAGTCACTTTGGTCCCTGTGCCCATGGCCACACACCCTCCTGCAGTGCTGTCCCACTGCTCCCACATCTGCCTGTGCCCACCCACATCCACCCGTGCCCACCTGTGCTCACTTGTGCCCACCTGTGCCCCCCTGTGCTCACCTGCAGAGAGCAGCCGGGCCCAGAGGCAGCAGAGCCCCAAGAGCAGCAGCAGCGACAGCAGCCGCATGGCATGGATGGGCAGCGTGGGGGCTGCCTCTCTGGGCACAGGCAGGGTTTTAAATCCTCCTGGGGCAGAAGGTTGGTCCCCATGACCTGGCCAGTGCCCCAGCACCTGACGTGCTCCATCCGAGCGTGAATATCCCCCGTCCCCTCCCTCCTGCAGGCAGCTGCTGCTGGATGAGCCTCAGGGGAGGCACGACGGTGCTGACAGGAGCAGCCAATGAAACTTCCTGCTGCGGGGGACAGGTAGGGCACAGGTGGCAGCGAGGGGCCGGGAGACCCTGCCTGGGGCTGGCCTGGCCGAGGCAGCAGAGGTGGCTCCCTGGCCGGGCGCTGTGGAGCAGCCCGTGGTGCCCTGGCAGCTCTCCGGGCATTGTTCTGCCTCTGGGAACAATCGCTGGTTCCTGAGGGACGTCCTGTGACCCGACACGGTCCACAGCCCTGCACTGCCACCAGCCCCTCAGCCCTGCATCTCCTGGCCAGCCTGGAGACCAGGACAGGCCAGGGGGGCATGGGGTCCTGGTTCTGGGAATAGCGAGGTGGGGGCTCGGCATGGGCACCAGGACTGCAGGGCTGGAGCACGGTGTCCTGTGTCCTTGCCGGAGGCAGAGTGGGTGCCCAGATTCCTGTCAGGCGGTGCTGGAGCTGCCTCTTGCCTCCTGCTCCCTTCCACGGGGCTGATGGGATCAGCCACCCCGGC